CCGAGCCTTCGAGCTGCGCGGGGTCCTCCCGCACTCCTGCCCGGCCACAGGCCGGGCGCCCTGAGCCCGAGCCCTCCCGTGCCTGTCACTCCCAGCTCGGACTGAGGGTCTCCAGAAATGTGCTTAAGACAGACGGACCACGTCCACAACGCATACCTCCACGGACAGCCTTCCGCACGCACGGACCTCACTGGCTCTCTTTTAAAAAAAGTTTTTTTTCTTAATGAATTTTTGTGAACATTAAATATTCTTTTGAGTACAGTAATATGTTTTGTATCTGAGCTCTTAATAAAATATCACCACTGACTGCAAAGATTGGAGCAGAGTGGGTATTTTCATTTCTTCATGAATTTTAAAAAATTGTTATTGGTACATGTTTGCAGTATGTAATGATTACATTCATCGTAAGGACATGGCACATGCATATAACACAGCTTCTTTTTATGTCTCTTTGTCCTCCTTTCGCATCCGTCCATCTCTTCGTCATCGTATTTGCAAAAGATCTTTGTTTCCTATTATCTTTTATTTTGCTTTTTAACATATTTTGGATTTCTCATATAAGATCAATAATGTGTTATTTAAGCTTGTAATCACAAGAAGCATCCATTTTCTTAAAAATAACTGATTTATCCTTCATGGTAGAGTAGTAATCCATGGTATATAAATACTGCATTTTTTAATCTATTCATCTGTTGATGGAGATATTAGCTGCTCCCAACATTTAGCCATTATGAGTTGTGCTGTAATATAGTGTAATAGATTACACTATTATATATGTGCTGTTGTGTAGTGTCTTTCTGTAATACAGAGTCTGTTACTCTTTCGGCAGGATAACTAAGAGCAAATGGCTAGGTCCAATAGAATTTCTAGTTTTGAGGGGTTTTTAGGAATCTGAAGCCCCTTCTGCCACGTCCTTCATTCAAGATCTGACTTCATAATGTCACCTCAGGACAGGAAAAAATAAAAGTAAGTCACAACAAATTAGCTTTTCCTTTTTTCACTCCTTATGATGGCAGTTTGCCTGGATTGGCTGCTTTTTCTGAGCGAACGTGTATAATTTGGAAGAGGCAGATGCTAATGGTGTAAGCAGTCAGCCCAGATTCTGAAGTCTTGATTGGTGGCCTCCAGTTGTGCTGCCACTGTGCTCCGTGTTCACAGCTCAAACGCTGTGGACGTGAGGCCTGCACTGACTCTCCCTGTGGGAAGAGGACTTGTTCCCCGCTGCCTGCGCAGACTTCCGGTGAGGACAGGAAGTTCCCTGCGAGTGGACCTGCCTGCTCTGCACTTGTCAGATGTTTTGAACCTGGTGCTCCTCTCAGCCTCTCAGCAAGGTGTTTGAAATGTTTCCCTCCCAGAACCGTAAGGTAGTGTGTTTGATGGTGCATAACAGCTCACATATGTTTCAGCAGGGTCGGAGTCGCCTTCCCTTGTAAGTCTGACCAGCACTGCCTGTCCACTCCTGCACCTTCCTCTTTCCACTCTCACCTGATGGGTGTGTCGTTGGCTCCCACCCTTCAGCTACTATGATGCTCTGCTATGAGCAAATGTCTGTGCCACGGCCCTTCTTTCAGATCTCTGGATATATCCCTAGAGGGAAATTCTTGGATTGTATAGTGAATCTCTTTTGATGAACTTTTCCAGACAGCATGTCCAGCAAGCAGTATTTTTAAGTCTCAATTTTCTCACATGTAAAAAGGGTCATAATATCAACCTCAAAGAAGTTGAGGAATTATTATTAAAATTAACTTCAGAGGGTGGAGGAGGTGAAGGGAGGGCAGGGGTATGGGGAAAAAATGAGAACCAAGATCTGTCACGTAAAGGTACAAGATCCCAATGATGAAATTAGCTGTACTGTATACTTTAAAAATACCAATAAACTCAATAAGATAAAAAGTAAAATTAACTTCAAAGACAAAGAGAACCCTAATACCAGCCTTCATGAAATTTAATCCTGTTACACATAACTCCAAAAACCCCAACTGCCACATGGATTTATAGGCAAGCTTTGGTAAACATGGAAAGAAAACCAATCAATGTATTCAGTAAAACTGGTATAACCTTATACAAAACAAGACAAATGTAAGATAATCATAGACAACTTATGGACTTAGATTAAATATCTGTTATAAAATGCTAATAAAATCAGTCTTTGGGGAAAAACTACATTTGCAAGCCCATAAATTCTGTGAATGTGGTGGATGTTTTGCTGTAGTAAAACACATAACTTGAGATTTATCCTCTTTAATATATTTTGTTTGCTCTTTTCCTTTAAGAGACAGGGTGTCTGGTGTCAACCACACTGTTTTCAAATGCCAGGCTCAAGTAATCCTTGAGCCTTGGTCTCCCAAGCAGGTGGCACCTTAGGCACAAGCCACCACACCCAGCTCTGTCCACAGATTTTTAAATGCACATACATATTTCCAGATGAGGACACTGTACAGAAGAGCTCTGTACCTTACCCATCCTGCATACTTGCAACCTCAACTCTCCAAGTACTACCCCCAGCAACTGTTATTCTGTTTTCTGAGCCTGTTTCAGATGCCATATTTAAGTGGAAGTATGCTGCATGTGTCCTTTTGCAACTGGCTTATTTTACTTGGCACAATGTTCTCCAAGCTTACCTATGTTGTCACACATGACAGGATCTCCTTTTTAGAGATAGCATAATATTCCAATTGTGTTTGTACCACACCTGTTCATATGTTAATAGACATTTGGATTGTTTCTGGCTACTACTCACGTTGGCTATTGTGAATAATGCTGCAGTGAACATGTGAGCGCTGATACCTCTTCATGATGTTAACTGACACAGACTCACCCCAGTAACTCTCTAGGGAGCCTTCAGGCCGCCAGCCTTGGACTGGGTTTGCATCCTTGGTCCCTCTTACTCTGATGCTTGCGTTTTTAGGCTGAGAAATTACTGGGTTCTCTGATCTCCAGCCTGTGGGTGGCCTCTGGGGATTCTCCAGCCTCCAGCATTGTAAGCTAATGGAATAAACCCTCTTTCCTGGCCCATCTCCCCACGCCTTGACATAGCAAACAAATCCCAGTGTAAGTTTCAGAGGAGAGAAACCACATTTGAATGACAGCATATGTAACTGTCAGGTGTTCAAAAACTTCACATAAACTTTCAGCGTCCATGGCTCATATCTCTTTCCTCCCTGGACACTGCATGCTGCTGTGAATGCTCTGCCTGGGGACCTGTCAGAGTCCTAGCGGCTCTGGGCCCACCTCGGTTTCCCCCTGATGGGGTGTGCCTCTCAAAGGTCCTTTCCTTCTTTTATAGCTCCTTGAAGATCTGCATCATTTTGGGTATTTCTTTGGTGTTTCTCCCAGAGCTCAAATAATGAGGACCTGGGGGAGGTTATTAGGAATTGTTGAGTTGAATATTATTAGTTTATCATTTTTTTTCTAAAAATACTTCAGCAATGTAGCTCTTCCTATAAATTTCACAAGTTTCTTGAAAATGTAATCCCTCTGAGTCATCTAATAAGCATAAAACAAATGGAGAATAAGCTGCTTTTGCAAGATATTCCCAAAAGAAGTTCTATAGGCCCAACAATTTTCATAATATGCAGTAAAAGCTCAGTTTAATACACTCTGAAATTTCAATGTGATCAGAAGTTTTTTCAAAGCACAGCAAGGGCATAGCTCAAATTGTTCTAAAATTCCAGCTGTCTGACTCATGGGCATAAATGAAAACATAATGAGAATCATTTTTTTCTGGGTAACAATCGTGAAATGATATTTTCTCATGGTATATGTAATGTGTAATGCTTACTTATGAAGTATTAAAACCCAATTTTCTGTAGGAACATTGAAGATCTGTGGGCTCTGCATAATTAGAAGATCATAGCTATGAAAAAAGTTTATAGTAGTTCATTTCAATGGAAATCATGTGCATCAAGCATTTCATCAATAATTTAATTTTTATCATGTGTTCAAAATGCATATGCGAGTCCCATTGTAATAAACCAATAAAAGCCTTGGTAAAAATTGAAAAATTCTAAATTGTGTCCCCATTAGGCTATCAGAGGAACGGTTAAAGAAAGTACATCAATTACAGAAGCAGAGAGGAGAGGCTGAAGAATAGATAAATGCCAGAGGCTCTGTGCTCTGCTGTCTATATGGAAAGGGGAACAGGATGTAGGTAGGGAGAGGAAGTTGGTGAGTACGATTAATATCAGTGATTGATACACAGCTCTGTATCCTTGAGGTATGATTAACTTAAACGTAGAATTTTATTAAAAACACAAGCAAACCTGGAAAGGTTTTGATGTAAGGCAGTCAGGCATGAACTACCAACAGCATGTCCTAGTAGGCTAACCTAAAAAAGAAACTTCCTCCTTTTATTATGTGTTACACTGGAAGAAAAACAAAGGACTCCTAATCCTACCTAGTCCGATAAAAGAACTAGGTAAATCAATGAATGATGACTAATTCTTACAGAAATTCTCAAAATTAACTGGAAAGAGAGAGAGAGAGAGAGAGAGAGAGCGAGTGTGTGTGTGTGTGTGTGTGTGTGTGTGTGTGTGTGTTGGCGTCTACATTGAAGGTGGGAGAGAATTCATGGCTCATGGTCTGAACATAGCTTAGTTGATTTACTAAAACAGAAAATTTCAACTGTCTTCAGACAGCTGTCTTAGGGACCAGACCCTACAACAAATAATATCTACAATGTCCAGAATACAATTCAAACAGCTATAAAAATGGGACGAATTCTCAAGGTGAGGAAAAAAAATCGCAACAGGGAATTCTTAAAGACCTTAAAGTGACTGTTTTATGCATTATAAGATCAAGAAAAACATTTGAAGTATTTGAGTGAATGAAATGATAGAAATTCTCAACAGAAAAATAAAAAATAAGAGGAGCTGAACAAAACTTATCGAATGGAAAAGTACATTATCTAAAGTGAAAAACTTCTCATTTCCATAGCAGAATGGAGGTGATAAAGAATCACGAAAGACAAAGCTAGAACAATGAAAAGGATGCAATCTACGTGCTGAGAGACACAGGACTAGGAGGGTCATAGCTCAGTAGAATAGAGGACACATCCGCCAACATCACCTGAAATAGGGAAAAGCTGAAAGCTTTCCCTCTCACATGTGGTGCAAGACCACTGTGTCCACTCTTACTGATCTTATTCACCAGAGTAATTAGGCAAGAGAAAGAAATAAAAGGAATATGAAGTAGAAGGGGGAAAGTGAAGCTATCCCCATTTGGATATTATGTGGTTCCAAATGTAGAAAATTTAAGGACTCCACACCAACTGACAAATTGATTCAGTACTGTTGCACAATACAAAATCAACATACAAAAATCAGTAGCATTTCACACACTAATAAGATTTACTGAGAAAGAAATCACGAAAGTAATGTTATTCAAGAGTAGCTAGAAAAACACAAACTCATGGGAACAAATATAACCACGGAAGTGAAATGCCTGAAATACAATGAAAATTACGAAACACTGATGAAATAAACTGAAGCCACACATGCGCACACGTGGAGAGATCTCCGTGTTCATGTTCTGGAAGAATTAGTATTGTTACCATCCCATACTACCCAAAGCAATGTATAGGTTTGGTGCAATCCCCATCAACACGCCCGTGACAGTCTTCAGAGACGGGAGAGAATAACCCTGAAATCCTCTTGGAAGCACGAAACACCCAAGTAGCCAAAGAAATATTGAATGAAAAGCACAGAGTCAGAGGCATCATCATTTCTGATCCCAAGACAGAGCTGCTGCCATGGCTTGGGTTTGAGACATCCCCCCAAAAAACCCTTGCGAAGGCTTCTTCTGGATTGCTGGGAGGGGATGGGTGGCACTGGACCTGAGGGCTGTGATTTCACCCAGCAACATAATTGCTTGGCGTCCTTGGGAGGTCGTGGACATAGGGGCTGGGGCCCTGTGTTGAAGTGTGAGTCCTGGGGTTGTTAGCTCGCGGACCCAAGCTGGGCGTCAGCCCTTTCCTCTTGCTCTCTCCCTTGCTCTCTGCTTTCCAGCTACAAGAGGGTAGCAGCCCTGAGGCTCTTCTGGGAGCCAACAACCCACGAGGGCCTGCTGGCCATGGGGTTAGCAGAGTGGACCTGCCCCAGCGGGGTGTAGCCCAGCTGAGGGGCTCGGCGGGGGCAGAGTCAGCTGGTGACGGCCATGGCTGAGTGAGGCTAGTGTTGAGCAGAAGGGAGCAGTGGTCCTGTAGGACGGAGGCGGGGCT